CATACATAGCCTAGCTCCTACATCTTTTTAGCTACTTCAGTCATGTCTCCCTCACATCTATCAAGAGCAAAATGATCCAGCTTTCTGAGCTCATCATGGTAACTAAGCGTTGCTAAATTATATGTTAATCTAGTGGCCCTCCTATGAACTTTTTTCAGAGCTGCTTTGTCTCCCTGATCCTTCTCAAGAAAACAAACACAACTTACAAGTTTAGACCAGGAAATGGCAAAGCAGCTAGCAGTCCACATTTGTAATGCCATATCTGAAATTGTCTCATATATTTTCAATGAGATAAAGTTTCCTTAGACTCCACTCTATGTTTTGACTCCTTGTTGCTGTTGTTATTCTATGTAGAGTTAACATACTTTCCACATTGTCTGAAGAAACAGCTCTTATTTGCTTGTCAGTTTTTGTTTTGTCTTTAAAAGCTCACAGGCACAAACGGCAATAGGATCTGTCCACCAAATATCATTCTTGATTTCAAAGGCTCTTTCAGCTGGCTAGGTTCTCCCCCATAGGGTCTTTCAGGAGTAAACTCTCACCAATCTGATGGAATGTGTTGGAAGATGACCAAATTGGGAAACTACTGATGCTGCTTAATAATCAACCTAGGAATCTTGTTCGTTTCTAAATTTCACAAAACATCTGGGAGACTTAGATAAGCTGATAAAAATTAAACACACAATTTTCTGTACTTTATAAGATATCATGAAAACATAATGTGCAAAGTAAATAAGGTCAGATGCTTGTTTTCATTTATGGACTGTGACTGTAGCCTTTTCAATACAGACTGAATACAATTCAGACGAATGTAAGATACCAGAATATCTATATCAATAGCAAGGATATTGCATTGTATAGAAAAATAGTAACAAAATAGAATAGGTTTGTACTACTATATTGGATCTTCAATGTGCTATGCCAAGGAATGCAACTCCCTATAGAGTGAGTAATTATCACGTTGGTGGTACTAGTGGGTGGCAAGTGGAGCTTCTTTATAATGTGTGAGAAAATCAGTTTTTTATGGGGGAAGCAATGGCCTAGTGTTGTTATCACTAGACTATTTATCCATAGATCCAGGTACTGTGCTGGGGACCTGGGTTCAAATTCTGCCATGCAATCACAATATCTGGAATGAAGAGTCCAATAATGATCATGACATTGTATGGAAAACGTATCTGGTTCACTAATATCCTTTAGGGAAGGAAATATGTCATCCTTACCTGATCTGTCCTACATGTGACTACATACCCACAGCAATGTGATTGATTCTTAACTGTCCTCTGGGCAATTAGGGATGGGCAATAAATACTGGCCTAGCAAGCAATGCCCACATTCTGTCAATGAATGATTAAAAAAGAAATATCTTGGAATTTTCTGATATTTTTCTTCGTCCTCTCTGACAGGTGAGTTTCTCATTGGAGACTCACCATTACGTTGACTTCCAGAGGAGGAGGTGAAACTCAGGGATGCATTCAATTAAAGCTGCACCAAATGCATGTGGCATCTGCCTGCCATTATCCTTGCATGGTTTTCCTCATTGCGTTTGCATCAAGAACATGATGGCTCAGTGGTTAGCACTGCTGCCTCACAGCACCAGGGACCCAGGTTCAATTCCACCCCCAGGCGACTGTCTGCATGGAGGTTGTACATTCTCCCCATGTCTGCATGAGTTTTCTCCAGGTGCTCTGGTTTCCTCCCACAGTTCAAAGATAGGTGGGTTGGCCATGCTAAATTGCCCTTAGTGTTCAGGGATGTGTAGATTAGGTGGGTCTGGGTGGGATGCTGTGAGGGTCAGTGTGGACTTGTTGGGCCAAAGGGCCTGTTTCCACACTGTAGGGATTCTACAATGGATAAATGGGTTGTAATAAATGAGAAGCAGAATACCATGATGAATTCCTTATTGGCACCTCTTTTTGTCTCTGATATCATCCCTGGCCAATCTCTCTATCCCTTGGATCTTCACAGTTTCCTTCACATGAAAGTGAGCAGTTTTTGGTGCCCATCAGCTATTGTCAATCTCTTCTATCTATTATGGACTGTTCTGCTTGACTATTCATTGCTACAATGCAGAAAAATCCAGGCAGCAACATGTAGTCCAAATAGATATTCTTTGACACGCACAGACAAGTAATTGCTCCCAATCAATGCATTTGAATGAAGTATGCATATGAAGGTTGAACATTTCCAGATGAAATATAAAAGGAGATCTCATTGTGTCATAGACAACAGTGGTAACCTAGTCAAGCAATTTATTATACTATGAGAAGTATATTCAAGTGATTTTTTTTTTTTTTGCAAACTATGAATGTCTCTTGTTAGCTTGCCTGACATTGTTCAATCTTTCACCACATTGACTAAACGGAACTGCACACTTTTGCTGGTACCTCCAGTCATGTATTTATTATTTCTGCCCTTGAGGTTGAACTTCGTCAGTTCCAGAAAGGTGTCTTCAAATTATGACCTCCTAAAGGACCATTTCATTGGATTCACAAATTAACAGTGCTGCATCCCACTACAATGCTGTAGAGCAATTTTCCATAAAGACACTTCTCGGTTTCATGCAAAAACAAGTTTTATTTCATGGCCGTTTTGAGGTGCTGTAGGCTTTGATACTGCAAGGTTTTGAACTGCCTAAAGAACAAACTTGCAATCAGAGATATTCACAATTCTCAAACCTTGTTGCAATATTCAATAATATTAACTTCATTATTATATCTATGTAGTTTGGACTATAGCTCTCACCTTCCCTCTTGATTGAAATTTGGGAATATTGCATGAGACTGTGAAATAAAGAGGAGGAAAATATAAACAAAAATGATTTTAATGATGATGTTCAGAAAAGTTTTAATATTTCAATCAGCCTTGAATGTATGGTATGAAATTGACCAGCAACAGTCAGAAGACTATTCAACAATTTTGCATTGTACTGATCTACTCAAAAATATATCAGAAATGACTATCAGACTCGTAAGACCACATAAGATCATGATTGCATAAAAACTTACAGCAACACTATGCCAAATATTATCAAAGACTAAAGACCCCATACTGACAGTAAACAAGGCCAATGTGATATACAGAATACCATGCAGTGAGTGCAATAAACATTACATTGGATAAACAAGGAGGAAACTGATGACCCGGATACATGAACACCAGCTGTCAGTAAAAAGATATGACCAATATTTACTTGTCTCAATACACACAGACAATGAAGGCCATCAGTTTGATGGGACAAAGTGACTATACTGGGACAAGCAAACACCAGACACGCAAGGGAATTTCTGGAAGCCTGGTTCTCAACACAGGACTCCATTAACAAGCATATCGAAATAGACCCCGTATACAGACTGCTGCTAAAACAACAGAATCAGAAGCGACAAGACCATCACACTAGAGGATCATATAAATCCGGAAGGAAGCAGAACACCAATGCTTCAATTCAAGTTTTCACTAAGACCTTAAAAATGATCTACTCAGATGATCAAACTGCAATTCAAAAAAACTCTTGCAATACAAAATCTTGATTCACTCACCATCCAGAAGAGAGTGGGGATAGAATAATACCATTGACTCAACTGCTCTGGGCTTTCTTTCCCACAATCCTTTTATTGCATTGCTTCTCCCTTTTATCATTTTTATTACAAGGATGTAATTAAATAACACTTGATCATTTCAACTATTCTCATTAAACATAGGTTATTTTCCAATGCTCCTAACCATGAGCATTAGTTTAAATGGAAAATAATTTGGATGAAAACCCCATAAATTACATGATAATCTGTCTTCATTTCAGTTACATAGCATATTGCTAATAAATATAGGTTTATAGTGCAAACATGCAAATAAGATACATATACTTTATCTTCAACAATTTTCACTTGATGCCCTGTACACGAGAAGACTGTTTATTGCAGAAAACATTTTTGTTCTAAAGAAGTTGCTTTGGGAGGTTGAGCAGCAAATTGGTAGAAAGAATAGCAATAAATGCATTTCTAGATTTCAAACCCTTACAAAAAAATAGTGAAGCAGGGCTGAAGGGCTGAATAGTTTACTCCTGTTCCCACATCCTAAATTCTTTTCTTCATATATACCGTATAGCTAATACTGTTTAGAAATTTTTTTAAAATGACCGTTCACTTCAGGAATACTGAGGTATGAACCTGGTCATTTTGCTGCAGGAACAGTGATTTTACACTGTTTGATCACTATTTAATAAAGGCATTAATATCTTTAAAATATAAATGTTAAAGTTGTCATTGAAACAATGGACAGTGGAATTAGATATGTGTTAATTGATGGTATTACAATATTGTATTGTATGGTTTATAAATTATTGTCACATTCCTGTTCTTCATATGTTTCCCTGAATTTTTATGGAATCAGAGCATACTTAACTTAGAAAGGACATCAGGATAGTTTTAATATTTACTGCACTTTCATGAGAATCAAAGGCTGTACAAAGGACTCAAATTCTAATATCAATTCAAAAGACAGCTTTGGTGTTTGTAACACTTAACAACCAATCACAGCATTGATCCTTATTTCATTGTGATCTTTTGTACAACATTTACATGGCATATTTTTTCTTGATCATTTTCCTGTTGAGGATTATTTAAATCTGATTGCAGTGATTGGCTTTCTTGTCCACTGACCAGAACCTTTTTGAACTTGTATTGAATGAGTTTGGCAAGAGATTTACGGAACAAATGATACCTTGAAGCTCTAATTATTTTGTCCTTGTGTCAATGATGACTTAGGAAATTTTCATTGATTAAATATCATGAAGTATTTCATATCATGTTCTCTAAGGGAAGAGTTGAGGCAGGTGGCATAATTTAAGGGCAAAGATTATGAGCAGCAAATGTAGAGGCTGCATCACTATCCCTGTAAATCTCTTCTTTATTCCCCCTGTTTTATGTTCTTATTTACTCTGAAGCTCTATTATTGTTGGTTTATGTTGCCTTTCCTTACCCATTGTTGTATGTTCCTCACAGCATGCGATTGCCATCCGGTGGGTGCAGCTGGCAAGACCTGTAACCAAACAACAGGTCAATGTCCCTGTAAAGATGGTGTGACCGGCATCACATGCAACAGATGTGCGAAAGGTTATCAGCAAAGCCGATCTCCCATTGCCCCTTGCATAAGTACGTGGACTGATCTTTTTGTCCCTCTAAGTAGAAATAGTTTTGTAGCATGGTCTGAATTGAAATTTGTTAAAGTCTGACAATGACCTTGAAATGGTTGGGTCCAAATAAACTATCTTCATTTTTCTAAAGAGCCTAGACAAAGTTGTCCTTCTCCTTAGAAGCAAAACTATTTGATACAACAAACGTTCTCATGGCCAATGGCAATAGTGCATCATCAATACCATGACTGTATACTTATCTGGACCTAGTTCAGACAGCCACAAAACATTCAAGGATACAATAATTCAGACATAGCACTACGTTCCTGCTGCATTGCCCTGACTATGCATTTTTTCCCTAACCTCAAAAATATGCATCATGACACAATATTACTTGGAATTCTGGCTCCCTCAGAGTTGAATTACTGCTGAGATAACCACAAATCTTAGGAAAATTTTCTGTTAGAACAAATGTGGACAAAACTCCAAATGATTAGTGGCCCCTTCTTCACTCGCTACCTTGGCAGCATTGGCTAGAAGGAAGAACGTTCCCAACTATACACTTTATTACAACCACCCTTAGTACCACTATGTAATCAGTTATCACAAGACAGAACACATAAGTTCATTTGGTGTTGCATCTAGTATATCAGCTATGAATTGAGGATGATGCCTATTCTGAGCCCACCATGATTGCTCTGCAGAGAATGCAGTTCTTGGAATCATATACAATGGGAAATTAGATTTAGAAAGAGTAGCTTTAATGCAGTTGGATGCAACATTCTGATAGTGTCCTGATTGTTCCTCCAGAAAAGAGGCATGTTTGGACAGTGAGCAAGAAGGGACCTAGAGTCAGCTTCATGACCCTAGGCAAATAATCCCTGAAAGCCACTGTCTGTGTTTGAACACAGGAACTGGCCATTTGCCTGTAAGACCACATCTGCTGCAGGAAACTAAACCCAATATGTCACAACCTTTGAAGACTAGATAGACAATGTTAGCATTAGATAGAGATTCAGCTTCCACAAACGAAGTGTGCTGGCTTGAATAAAATGAAATTAGGACTTAAAACCATTAAATTCTAATTGAGACCTCAAAAGTTCAAAATCCTGAACTGCCTTAACCAGGATGTGTTCAAACTAACTCACTTTATAAGAGGAGATCCCCATTCCCTTTCCCCGTGTTGGATTTACCCAATTTTTTAAGGAGCTAGAAACATTTTGACCATGTGTCCCTTCATAAAGATGGGATCTTTCAAATTGAAAATGCTACAAATTTTTAATAAAGTTTAACTCATCTGAATTGTTTCAGATCCTAGACCCAGCAAGAAATTCATTCAGGCCATATCAACTTTACTCAGCTTCAGGATATGATTGGATATAAATCAATTCATATGCATTCTGCCCATGATATGTATAGTTAAAATATTTATGATTGATTGAAGCTAGCTTAAAAGCATGAGTGTACACAGGTCAGACAGTGGCATACATAATGTGACATTTGTTTCTATAAGACTTGATTCTTTACTCTCACCTTTCAAACAACCTTGCTTTTTTTTTGGTGAATAACATAATGTCACTGACATATATAATTGTGCTTGTTCTGATCTGCTGCTAGCATCTGACAGAGTCAGAATTTGATCTCTTAAACTTTCAGAATTTTATGTGACCCTATCTCTGGTACTTTACGCTGTCTACTTGTCATCAAATGTAGAAACACTCAGCTAAAAAAAATCTTCGAGTTTAATCTCTACTTTTGAAATGAAAGTGCTCCTTCATGCATGGCCAATCTTAGTGCTGACTCTGTGCCAGAAAGGTGTAGGATTGAAAGAATCAAGCCTTGTTGGAGACAATATCCCAATTTGTTGTTATTCAATAGAAACTCCTGAGAATGAAGGAGGCAGAATTCCACAACAATTATAAATAAACATTTTGAATTAAGAATGCACATGTGCCCTTTGAAGTTGTGAAAGAGGTATATGCACAAAATAAGTTACTTTTAAAGATATTGAAATGCTTTGAACACTTGTGGATGATATATTGACATCTCATTGCTGTTGCTTGCCTTTCTTTCCCACAGAAATTCCAGTGGTCCCACCTACCACTGCTGCTAGCAGCACAGAGGAATCTGCCGGTAAGATTAGACATATTATCTTTCTCACATGTTGTCTTCCCAGCTGGACAAACTCCCATTGTTTTGATATCTCCTCTTTTTTAAGAGAATGCCAACAAACCACAACAGCTGGCTACATCGCTATTTCTTTCTGCTGGCTCACTGCTGGCAATTTAAGGTTGGATATTATGTCTTATTTTGAGTTTTGCTGTGCTTGTTGACAGTTCGGTATAGCCAGCAAAGAAAAAATATCAAGCAACTATCGGTTTGAAAGTGTGTAACATCGGTTGGAAGAAAAATGCATTCTCTCTACTGCTTTCAGCTTTAACAAAAGTTCTAAATTAGTACATGCATTTGGAATCAAGGAAGCTTAAATATAGTAGCCAAGGTGAAAGGTTTGATTTTCTTTATCATCATCATCTGGGCTTAGAATCTTAAATTATGAGAATGGGTTTGTACAACCTTACGTTATAAAAGACAGGAAGTGCTGGAAAAGTCTAGCCAGTCTGGCAGCATCTGAAGAGAGAAAATGAATTAACTTTTTGACTCAAATATATCATGTTCAGCTTGAAACATTAATTCTGTTTTTTTCTTCACAGAAGCTGCCAGACCTGCTGAGTTTTTTCCCCCAGCACTTTCCGTTTTTATTTCAAACTTCTTGCATCTGCAATGTTTTGTTCTTGTACTGGGCCAACTCATGCTTTCTTGCACCATGACTAAGCTCCACATTTCTGGTGGCATCTTACAATGTCAGCTCCTTCAGAAATGCTGAACAAACCTGAGATGCAATTGCCTCTATGCTGAGCTGGGTTCTGAGGGGAAAATAAGCCACACTCCCTACTTACAGTCCTAGCTGCTGTCTTCTCATAAGTGTTTAATCACAAACACAAGCTGTGGAACTTTTAAACAGATTTTCAGTGCATTAGTGAATGGATCTATGAGTGAAGTGAGTCAGAAGTTCAGGGGGAGTAATTGGAAGTGGTTGGACATGTTAAGGCGGGGAGGGGTTTGGTTGTCAGAAGGTCTAGGTGAGTGCTTGAGGAATCAGTTCTGTTACTCCTATAATCAGGAATTGCACTAGATTTTTCTGGTTTACATTTTATGGATCACTATTGAGTGAAATAAGTTACAATAGTCCAGGGAGACTTTTTAGGATTTTAGAATTTATGTAGGTTTGGGGGAACAGGTAAATTACTCTTTGGAATATTGAAAGTGATCTGATCAAGATCTGTAAAATGTTGTCAGAATTTGGTGGGTTAGATTCACGAAACTATTTCATTTGTGGGGGGGTGGCGGGGGGAGACAATACAAAGAGGACCTGATCTTAGAAGTTGAGCAGAGTCATTCTTAGTGAAACTCAAGAACACGTTTTTCAGACAAAGACTAGTGGAACTGTCAAACATTCTTATCTCAAAAGGATGCTTTCAAAAGTGAGACAAAACATTTTTTGTGAGGTAAGTGTGTCAAGATATGGAGTTAAGGTGGATTATTGGAGTTGAGTCACTGATCAGCCATGATCTAATTAAGTGTTGGAGCAGGTTTGAGGAGCTGAATGCAGCTACACTGGGCACAATGGGGCAGAGTGCAGAAAGGACAATTAAGTAGGGAGTAAAGAATGTTAGTTACAGTGCCAGCCTTACATTAATTGGAATGGATTAAAGATTACAATCTCTGGTACCAATAGGTGAGAGACTTAACCAACCTTCCTTTTTGATTTCAATATCCAGACATTAGGCAAAAAAATCCTATTTAATTATTTCAAACCATCCCGAGCTGTATGTGACAAATTAGGCATTGTAACTGGTTCAACAACTTAAATAGTTTACAACATGATCCAACTCACAGCTGGATAGCAAGAGGTCAGCACCTCTTGTTTCAGGGAATAAGATAAAGCAATATCTTCTTCACGGATTTTATGTTCCACTAGACTACTCCTTAAATCTCAGGCATTGAACGTCCTTGCAAAGTTCAACGAGTTCCATCCCCCAAGTACATTTGCGATGCTTGCTAATTATTATATAATAGAATAGCATAATGAGTCATGTACGGTCAGGAGCCTAGTTGGATAGATCTGTAGAAGATTTTTCTGAAGAAGGGTCTAGACCCGAAACGTCAGCTTTCCTGCTCCTCTGATGCTGCTTGGCCTGCTGTGTTCATCTAGCTCTACACCTTGTTGTCTCAGATTCTCCAGCATCGGCAGTTCCTTCTATCTCGGATAGATCTGTAGTTGTGTTCAATCATTGCTGAACCTTGACATCTAATCTATTTGCACATTTTCCCTGTGTCTGCGTGGGTTTCCTCCAGGTGCGCTGGTTTCCTCCCACAATCCAAAGATGTGCAGGTAAGGTGGATTGACTATGCTAAATTGTCCATAGTGCCCAGAGATATGTAGGCTAAGTGGTGGATTAGCAATGGGAAATGTAGGGTTACAGGGAATAAGGTTGGGGAGGATGGACCTGAGTTTGATGCTCTTCAGAGAGTCAGTGCAGACACGATGGGTGGAATGGCTTCCTTCCACATTGTAGGAATTCTATGATTTAATGATAAGCCAGTTGCTTTCGTTTCTCATTTTCACATTGAATAATGCATTCAGTTATGGGACAAAAATTGACAACCTTTAGGAAATACAACCTAGTGAAGGAAAAATAGACACCAACATCTCAATCAGTGGAGATTGCTTTTCTGGCTGTATAAACGAAAGCACAAAGATTGGAAATCAGCAGAAGGATAGCAGACATTGTAAAGAAGTGGAGGCAGAGTGGGAAATGGAGTCAGGGAAGAAATACTGAAAGGTGGTGTAAGTCAGTCCATTAGTGAATGTCCTGAGTTATGCTCTGCACAAGAATGTGTCACATGGAGGTCACAAGATCTCTCTCTCTCTCTCCCACTCTCACTATCCTGCCCTCTGTTCCTCATTTGCTCATCTCCTTCCAGAAATTTTCCATGCTCAGAAACATTTTACATGCATCAATATCTCTTTAACTGACATATACGTGTTACACAATACATTTACTTTTACTTTTGGGTTATAGATTCGTACTTCAGGCATAACTGTACAAAAATAAACTTTATTAAACAAATTCAATCAGCTGATCTTAGTGCTACTACATACGTCTCACCACTGTTATTCAGTCGATCTGATAAATCACAGGAACTTGGAAATGATTTGATCCAATATTGGAGTCAATGGGTCCCATGAAATTACATTGTTCAATATCATAATGAACTTTAAAAGAAGGAGAGGAGATGTTGTTAAAATATACAAGATTCTTGGAGGGGGTGCAGCACAGTGGCACAGTGGCTAGCTTTGCTGCCTCAAAGCACCAGGGACCTGGATTCAATTCTAACCTCAAGCGACTGTCTGTGTGGAGTTTGCACACTCTCCCCTTATCTGTGTGAGTTTCTGCTGGGTGCTGTAGTTTCCTCCCACAGTTCAAAAGTGTGTAGGTTAGGTGGATTGACCATGTCAAATTGCCCTGTAGTGTCCAGGGATGTGAAAGCTAGGTAGATTAACCATGATAAATACAGGGATAAGTGGGGGTGGGTCTGGGTGGGATGCCGTTCAGAGGGTCAGTGCAGACCCGAAAGGCTGAATGGCCTCAATCTGCACCATAGGGATTCTTTGATTGTATGATAGTAGACGCCAAGAGGTCGTTTTCCTTGTTGGAGAGTATACAACCACAGAGCATAATTTCAGAATAAAGAGTAGCCCACTTAAGGCAAAGTTGAGGCATTTCTTCTCTTAGAGGGTAGTGAATCTGTGGAATTCTTTACCACATATGAGTTGTGTCATTGAGCATATTTATGGCGGAGATATGTAGATTTTTAATTAGTAAGGGGATCAAGGGTTATAGGACAGACTCAAAGGGCCAAATGGCTTACTTCTGCCCCTACATTTTATGGGCCTTACTCTGTATTAGCATAACAAAGAAATCATACAAACATATTAAATGTCTGTGTGCTCATATTTAATCATTTTAGGCTTATTATATTAATATGAATCGGTGAAATGTTTAATCTCGATTGCAGAAGACTGACAGAAATATACAGAACATGAAGAGCGTTTATGCTAATTAGATTGCACAAACGTATTGCACAATTCTAACTTTCTGGAAGTTAGGCATGGGTTAACCTTATGAAGGTTCAATTTCATAGCCTTCATTCAAACAGACTGCTATAAATGGAAATTACTTCTTACACCATATAAAACACTGCTGTATTTATGATGTAATTACTAGATGAATTCATACATTATGAAACAGCTAATCTCAGTCGAAACATTGAGTGATTCTCACGATCCCTTCTCATAATATCCAGAGGCTAATACAAGTCTCAGCAGACTTTGCAACCAGATACTGAATACTGGAAACAGACATTGACTACTCAAAGAACCTTTTAGAAGAAAGTCATATTACTAACATTTGTGGACATAATGGTACTTCTTTCTTTCTCTAAACATTATCATTTACACTCAATGCAATCCCAGTTCCCAGTAAGTTATGGATTCGAGATAAGGTAAAACTTCTATTTTATACCCAATACGATGATGCTGTACATTGAATTTCCTCAGGCCAAAAAATTGGATTGGGGTATTGTGTACAGATCAAAACAGAAAGATACAGCAATGGGTATGACAGAATGAAATGGAGTTCTAGGAATTATTGTGCAGAAATGCTGCAACAGTGAAGGGACAGATAAGCATTATTTCTTTCTTCAATCCTAACAGTAAAGGCCAATTTTTTTTTCTTTTGTAAGGGTGACCCTCAAAATTTTGGACAATGGACATGACTCTGCAATATTGACTTCAGTGTAAATCATATTGCAGGTAATTATGGTACTACATGCTCATTGAAGATGGATTCCGTTCTCAAACAATTCTCTGCGTTCCGATTCAGATGAGAATTGGATAATGTATGCTGCATAGAAGGATAAGCAAGTAGTGTGGCAGTACTCATCCTAGACAGTCATCATCAGGACTGTTCAGTCCTGGAGACCAGTCATATAGGGCTGATATTTCCTAAACCCCTGAACAATGTGGGCAATTGCAGGTGAGTTGAGAAAATATGGTGAGATCAGAAAAATGAGGTTCCATCATTGAGAAAAGAAAGGCCGACTTTCCACCCAATGAAAAGAGAATCACTCTAATAGCAGAGATAACACAGCGTGGAGCTGGAGGAGCACAGCAGGCCAGGCAGCATCAGAGGAGCAGGAAAGTTGATGTTTTGGGTTGGGACCCTTCTTCAGAAGG